ATTGATCCCTTTATTATTGTGTAATGTCCTTTGTCTTTTATTATAGTCTTTGTTTTAAAGTCTATTTTGCCCAATATAAGTATTGCTCCTCCAGCTTTTTTCTTGTTTCCATTTCCATTAAATATCTTTTCCATCCTTTTACTTACAGTCTTTATGTGTCTTTTGATCTGAGGTGGGTCTCTTGTATACAGCATATGCATGGGTCTTGTTTTCTTCCCTATGTCTTTTAATTCATTTACATTTAAAGTGATTATTGATAGGTCTGTAGTTATTGCTATTTTTGTTTGTTTGTTTTAAGCTGAGCCATCCTGCTACCGGTTGGCAGCTCAGCAGCTGCTCAGCTCGGGCCGGGAATCGAACCGCTGTTGCTCAGAGCTCAAAGTCTTGAGCGAGCTCTTAACCAACTGAGCCACTCGGCCGGCCCAGTTATTGCTATTTTTATATTTTTCATCTTTGTTAGTTTGTTTTCTTCTTTCTTCTGTTTGAAGAAGTACTTTTACATTTCTTGAATTCCTTTAGCTTTTTCTTATCTGGGAAACTCTTTATCTCTCTTTCAATTTTATTTTATTTTATTTATTTATTTATTTTAGCTGAGCCATCCTGCCACCTGTTGGCAGCGCAGCGGCAGCTCAGCTCGGGCTGGGCATCGAACTGCTGTTGCTCAGAGCTCACACTGTTGAGCGAGCTCTTAACCAACTGAGCCATTCAGCCAGCCCTCTCTTTCAATTTTAAATGTTAGCCTTGCTGAGTAGAGTAGTCTTGGTTATAGGCCCTTGTTTTCATATTTGAATATTTCCTGCCACTCCCTTCTGACCTGCAAAATTTCTGTTGAGAAATCAGCTAATTGTCTTATGAGAGCTCCCTTGTAACTAGTTGTCTTTCTCTTGCTGCTTTTAGGATTCTCTCTTTGTCTTTAACCTTTGCCATTTTAACTATGATGTGTCTTGGTGTGGGCCTGTTTGGGTTTATCTTGCTTGGGACTCTGTGCTTCTTGGGCTTGTATGTCTATTTCCTTTACCAGGTTAGGGAAGTTTTCGGTCATTATATCTTCAAATAGGTTCTCAATCCCTTGCTCCTTCTCTTCTCCTTCTGGTACTCCTTTGATTGAATATTGTTGCACTTGATGTTATCCCACAGATCCCTTAAACTATCTTCATTGTTTCTTATTCTTTTTTCATTCTGATTGGGTGTATTCTGTTATCTTGCCTTCTAAATCTCTGATTCAGTCCTCTGCTTCATCTAATCTGCTGTTGATTCCTTCTAGTGTATTATTCATTTCAGTTATTGTTTTTCTTATTTCTTACTGGTACTTTATGATTTCTGTCCTTTATGCTTGCTATCTCTTTGTTGAAATTCTCACAAAGTTCCTTAAGCATTCTTATAATTAGTGTTTTAAACTCTGTCTATGGTAGGTTGGTTGCCTCCATTTCATTTAGATCCATTTCTGGAGGTTTCTCCTGTTCTTTTATTTGGGGCGTGTTTCTTTGTTGTCTCATTCTGGCTGCCATTCTGTGTTTGCTCCTATGTATTAGGTATACCTCCTATGTCTCTCAGTCTTTGCTGGGTGGCCTTATATATTGGGTTGTCGGAAAAGTCATGATGCATTTTTGCAACAAAAAACATAGAAAAAATACATCATGATTTTTCCGACAACCCAATAGTATGTGTCCTGTGTAGTCCAATTGCACGGTCTCCCTAATCTCTTGTGTGTGTGTGTTCCAGGAGTGTGTTGTGTGTGTTCTCCTGTTGTATTATTGTTGAGCCTTGATTGCTTTTGGTGCATCAGCGGGTGGGATTGACTCCCAAGCTGACTATGAGGATTGGCTACACCCACAGCTGCTGTGTGGAATCTGACCGCTCAGAGGACACTTTGCCCTTGCGGGCTCTTGTGCCTGTTGTGACCCCCCTTTGCGTGTGCCGCTTGTGGGGTAACCAGGTAGTTTTCTGGGGGTGGTCTGAAGCTGGCCTCTGGATGTGTTTTTTTCTGGTGTCTCTTGGGTGGGGCTGTTTAGGCCAATTTCAGCCTTGCCTGTTACTGGACCATGGCTACTTGGTAAGAGCCTCAAAGCTATATGTGGTTGGCTAATGCCTGTCCCAGACCTGGATGCATGTGGGGGTGGCCATGCTGTGAAGTGAGACTGGCTGCCACCAGTAGTGGGCCTAAGGTAGCTTAGCAAAAGGCCCAGGGCCTCCTAGGCCTATTGGCACCTGCCAGCTGCCTGTAAGGCCCAGCCATTGAAAGAGGCTCCTTAGGTGTGTGTGCTGGGCTGGCTGACCTGGTGTTGAGGGTGCCCTTAGTGATGCAGCACTAGAGTTCAAGGGAGTCATAAGGCGTGACTCGTGGTTTTTACAGCATTAATGCAAATTCAGTTCTTACTCCAGTGCCTGGCCTGTGACCACCTTGCCCAGTGCCCTGAGAACCCTGCAGCCAGCCACTGCCTGAGGCTTGCAAATTCCTGAGTACCGTCCCCAAGGGGCTGCGGTGCAGTTTTTGGGTCACTATCCATCACCAAAATCTTCCTGGGTTACTGCAGATAGTTTGCTGCTGTGAAAGACCGACGCGACTTATGGGGATGGGGCCAGCTGCCCAGGTGCCCAGAGTGCTCCTGGCAGTGCAGCTCTAGGGGGGTTGGGAGGGGTTCCAGGGAGCTAAGGGGTGTGGTCAGCTGTTTCTGCAGTCAGTGCAGTCTCTGTCCCCGCACTGGTGTTGGGCCCGTGACCACCCCACAAAAACGCCCCGAGAACAGTATGGCCAGCCACTGCCCATCTATGCTGTGGCACAAGTGTTAGGTTACTGCCCACTGGCAAACATTTCCTGGGCTGCCACAGGCCCTCCACCTCTTTAAACAGGCTTCCTCAGCCCATGGGGCAGGGCCTGCAGCCCAGCAGTCGTTTTCAGGGCGATAGAGCATTTGTGCAGAGGGCGGGGACCCAGAGTGTCACCATGGCATTGTGCACACCTGGATTCCAGCAGACCAATGTGGACCCAGACTTGGCCCTTTTTGGGAGGACTTTACTCTGGAAAGATGGTGCCCCCCTGAAAGCCACACACGTGTCAGGCTCCAGACAGGGACAACAGTGGTTCAGCTCCCATGCTGAAGCCACACAACTCAGTCCTTCCTCACACGTCCTTGGGCCTCCAGAGCTGCCACAACTCCACCACAGGTAAGTGCCCACGAGCAGGCACGTCCGTGTGTTGGCTCTACAAGAGGGCATCTGGGTTCCCAGCCACCTTCCACCCCCTGGGAAGGGCAGAGTTGGCACTGACTTTCACTGCCGTGGGAACTGCTCTTCCTGACACAGGGCTGCCGGGCTGGGGAGACCCTCCCTCCTCAGAGGGGACCTCTGCCACCGAGGTGTCCCTCCTGGTGTTCAGCCTCCATCTGTGGGTTTGGAGTCAGCCCGTTTCATGTCTCCACCCCTTTCCAGTCTTGATGTGACCTCCTCTTTACACCCTTATAGTGTTTCTGTTCAGCCAGTGTTTAGATGATAGAGGGTAACTGTTCTATAATTTATTTGTAATTTTGGTGTGATCCTGAGATGCAGCAGGCACAGCGCTCACACACTCCGCCATCTTGGACCTCTCTAGGTCTTTCATTCTTAAGCTCCTGATTCGTGCAGAGGATAAGTCAGCTCTTTAACTTACAAGCTTGCGACCATAACCATAACCTTCATGTCTTCCAAGTTATTCTGACTCAAAACTTAAGATTCCTGGGTCAGTGCAGATGCAGCCAAAGAACCCCTTGTCCCCTTCCAAGGCAGCCCAGCACTTAGGGGAGCCATTACCTGGCACTCCAAAGCACCAGATGAAGACTGAATTAGGCCAGTGCCAATCTGGGCAGTTAGGGTGCTGAGATGCTGGGTGATTTTGTTCTCTGATTTCTAAAGTGTTTGCAAACTCACTTTAATTTATATGTTAAGTAATACTCTGAATTCTATACACGAAGGCAACTGTCCTTGGTTGATACCCTAAAAATGATGCTGGCCAGAATCCCCCCCGTCACAAAACCCTGTGACTAGCTGAGGTCTGTGGGAACTCAGTGGGCCGGGTCATTTCTACTTTACGAGCCCATGGCGCTCGTGGAGAACTGTTCCCAAGTCCCAAAGAGCATTTCATCACAAGAGATGTTTAACAGGAACTAAAGAGGGAAAAAAGTCACACTGACATTACAATGCCCTTCATTACTTCCAATACACATCTCCTACCTAATTTATAAAACATATTTTATTTTTTAAACTTTTTCCTCTTCAGAGCCTTCCATTCACCTTCCTGTGTAGCCAGGCTGTTAAAAAGCTGCTTCACTTTTCTCTTTCTTTCCGCATCCCTAAAAATAGAAGAAAAAAAATTAAAAAAAATTAGGTTTTGGAGGACGACTGTCCCCTTTTCATATCTGACTCAACAGCATTCAGAGTCCCAAGAGGCCTATGACTCCCATGCCCAGTACAGAGGAAGGAAAAGGGGGAACCAGCCTGCCCGGCCAGGCCCCAGCCCTCAGGCCCAGCCCAGCTGCCAGGCTCAGGGCCACAGGGCGGCACGCCCCTCGGCACACCGCAGGCTCCCTCACCGTTCCATGATCTCCGAGAGCTGCATCCGAGCCAGAAACTGGTTGTCCTTGCGGATTTCCCGGACGGCGCCTTTAAACTCGCGCTTGTGTTTGTGGATCAGCCTTTTCCTCTCCTGCTCCTCCTTACTGCTTCCCTGTTTTCTTCCAAACTCGAGGCTAACAGGAGAAAGCCAGCACCCAGGAGGCAAGAGTCCAGTTGGCCCCATGTCTCAGCCAGAGCTACTACCCACCATGGGCTGCGACCCACAGCCCTGACCTCCCCAAGCCCCTGTGGGAACTGGGGGTGCCGTGGGGGCACAGATGTACTCACACTTTGACCAGCCGGGGGGTGAACAGCTTCAGCGGCACCGGCTTGCTCTTCTCACAGATCAGTGGCTGATAGTGCCTCTCTTGGGTTTCCATTTCTGTCACTATGCTTTGAGACAACTCCTGAAACCCACGGAAAACGGAGGTGGTCAGGGGCCCACCCACTGTGGCCTCATGAGCTCCTCCAACAGGCTCTGTGGCCTCCAGGAGAGAGGGGACAGAGCGAGACCTTGCCCCCTCGACTCTCCTGCTGTCACTCTCCCCATCTGAGGGGGGACCCGCACCCACGGGTGTGGGTGCACAGAAGCTGTGCTCACAGGCGTGGCCTGGCTGCGACTGGACCTCCTGTCTTCTTGCTGATGAGCGAGGGGACTGTGCACAGGCAGCTCTTATCCTTCCTCACACCCTGCAGGCCCAGAGACTGGTTCAAGTGTCGGATTTAGGCACTTCTAGCATCTCATAAACGCGATGGCATCTTCTTTCCCAGAGAAACTGGTAGCAGAGGGCACCAGTGGCACACATTTTATGGACCTGCTGGGAGTCAGGCGCAAGGGTAGCTGGCGGGGAGCCGCCTGGCGGGCCTGGAGCAGGACCAAGTTTCTACCTGTCTTTGTGATCTGACCTCACTTTCATCCCAAGAGAAAGAACCAGACGGTTAAGGCACTTTCATCACAGCCTTGGCTTCCAGGAGAGTTGGCTGGGGCTTTTGAGGACCTTTCTAGAAGCCAGCTCGCTGATGTTGGTTCCATGCCTTTCCCCTTGCACAGGTGCACCACAGGCCCAGCCGCCCCCTGGCCCATCTGGAGGTTCATCTCTGAGGGCCAAGTGCCCAGGCTCCATGGGACTACACGCAAGGTACGACCAGCTTAATTCACCCCGAGTCCACGAACCACCTATGGCCTGAACAGCCACTCAGCCCTTTATACTAAGGGACAAGCCACACACACGTCTACAGTAAGTGGATACAGGGTAGAGACAGGTGTGGACGCCTTAGCCAATCCAACCTTCCACAAGAGGACACCATATCCTCTTGGCCCATGTCCTAGGGGGCCAGAGGTATGACAGCATGATGTGCTGAGTGGTCATGCCGTGGAGAAGAGGCACAGAAAGCGAGGGGATCAGTCACGTGGCTCTAAGGACAGCGTTCCAGGTGGAGGGAAGGGCACATGTGAAGAGCCCGTGTGGAGGTAAGAGTGCGTGACGGGAGGGCAAGGCTGACACTGGAAGGACGGCTTCCCCCAACGGGACCCCGGGCTGGCGTGGAAAGACGGGAAGTGGGAGAAGGGAATGAAGGCAGAGCGAAAAGGCTTCAGATGCTCACTTAGATGCACACGTGAGCGCTTGTAGTCAGAGGGAGCCCTACACGGTTTCTGTCATCTTGTACAGGACAGTGGGACTGTCCTCAGAAAACCCGCATGGCCTGGGAGGGACCAGTGCCCAGGCCCTGGTGGGCAGTAGGCAGGCAGAAGGGGGCATGTGATAACGTAACAGCTCTCAGATGACCCAGGCCCAGACTTGCCCAGCAGCTATTCTGAGCCTCGCCCCATCGTGACTCCATTTCCCATTTGTGCTTCTAATTTGCAAAAATGGTGTCCTTGATGACCTGGCTGCAACCCCAGTGGTAGAAACACCATTCATTGCTCCCCAGCATGGAAACGGCCAAGCTGGGCTGAGTACCCTCCTGGCCAGGAACCTCACCTGGAGCTCGTGGGGGTGACTGGTGGTGGCCAGATGCTCCGTCAGGAGGGCTTTGAGGGGCCTCGCGATGTCATGGAAGGACGGCAGTGTGGCATACATGACCACGCAGCGTTTCACCAGGGACAGGCACACGGCCAGGCAGGAGAGTCTGTGAGGGCAACAGGCAGCTTTAGGGCCCCCGGCAACAACCCCGGCAAAGGCCAGAGCCTGCTGCTCACAAGCCTGGAAAACCTGACTTGGACCGTGGTCGCCGGAGCCTGACAGTGCCAGGCGTGGAGGAACACGGCATGTGCCCTGAGCAGGAGTGCAGTCATGCGATGCACGGCATCCTGGAAGCAGAGGCCCCTACTTCAGTTTCTAAATTACTGCCTGAAAGACCAAGCAGGTATATTTTGGAAATGTTTTCACGGAAATAATCACCATCACGGCCTGAATAGATATTTTTCCAAAGAAGACATACACATGGCCAACACGCACATGAAAGGTGCTCAATCAGAGAAATCAAGTCAGAACCACAAGGGATACCACCTCATACCCAGTAGGATGGCTACTGTGGCTACTCTCAAAAAGCCCAGAAAACAAGTACCAGTGAGGATGTGGACACTGTTGGTGGGAGTGAAAATGATGCAGCTGCTGTGGAAAAAGTATGGAGGTTCCTCAAAAAATTAAAACCTGAGTTATGGGGGCCGGCCGAGTGGCGCGATGGTTAAGAACTGGCTTGGGACGCCAGAGGGCCCCGGTTCGGATCCCACATATGAGGGCCAGTGACACTGCCCTCTACAGCTAAGATGCTGAACAACAACTCAACCTGGAGCTGGGCTGCTGTGAGTCGCCGGCGACGGCGTAGGCTGCAGCCCCTGCTGCAGTGGGTTGCCATGGGCTACCGTATGTAGCCAGCAGCCAGCGTGAGCGGCCAGCAGCCGCAGTGAGCGGCCAAGAACCGCTGTGAGAGGCCGTCCAGAGGCCGGCGAGCGACTGCCTCACCCAGGAAGAGCACAATGATAATACCAACATAGGCCAGTGAAGCGACGTCCTGTACAACTAGACTGAAGAATGAAAGGACAGCAACTTGTCTGTTCCCCTCCCCCAATTCCCCAATAAAATCTTAAAAAAAAACAAACTGAAAAACAAACAAACAAAAAAACCTGAGTTACCATATGATCCAGCAATCCCACATCTCGGTATGTACCCAGAAGTGAAAGCTGGATCTCAGATCTCAGAGACATCCGCACACCCGTGTTCACAGCACCATCATTCACAACAGTGAAAACGTGGGAGCCGCCCAAGTGTCCGTCAATGGACGATGGACAAGCAAAGGTGGTCCATCCACACGGTGGGATCAGGCTTAAGGAGAAAGGAAATCCTGACACCTGTTACACCATGGATGGCCCTGGAGGACATTACGCTCAGTGAAATAAGCCAGTCACAAGAGGACAAACACTGTGTGATTACACTTATATGAGGCACACAGAATAGATAAATCCAGAGACAGAAGTAGATGGTGGGTGCTGGGGGGATGGGGGTGGGGAGTCGTTCCTTGGGGACAGTTTCAATTTTACGAGATGAAGGGTTATGGGGATGGATGGTGGTGATGGCTACACAACTCTGTAAGTGGATTTAATAACACTGAACTACCGACCTGTATACGTAAAAATGGGTAAGATAGTAAATTTTGTTATGTGTATTTTACCACAAAAAATTTCCCAAAAAAATTTTGAAAAAGTTTTTCAAATAATCCGTAATTTAAAAAAAGCAGAGAATAGGACTTGTAACAAAATGCCCAACCCCTCTCCTACTTGACTGAATGTTCATGACTGTATAAAATTCCTGCATTGAAATCATTCCCTAAGGTGATGACATCTTCCAACCCACGAACACGTGATGTGATCCCACTGATTTATGTCTAGTGTCTCTCAGCAGTGTTTTGCAGTAATTGTACAAGTCTCCCACCTCCTTGGTTAGCCAAGTTTCTAAGCATTTTCTTCTTTTTGACGCTACCGTGAATGGAATTGCTGTAATTTCCTTTTAATGTTGCTCATTGCATGTGCACAGCAATGGAACTGGTTTTAGCGTGTGGGCTTCGTATCCTGCTATTTGGCTGACTTCATTTACTAGATCGAACAGCTTCTCCACACGTAAGATCCCATCATCCGCAAACAGATGAAACTGGGGAGCCCTCGGTGCAGGCTTTGGGGTGGTGCCGGCTCTGGCGGCCTCCCTGAGGCCTGAGCTGGCACTGGGAGCCCCGGGAGCTGCTGCAGGAGCACAGGCGCCACCTCCCAGGAGCCCCAGGCCTGCGTATACCTGGTGTGGTTGGCCTCTGTCTCCGTCTGGGCTTTCAGTCCACTCGCCCAGTGGAGGGCGAGGTTCCTCCTCTGCCACGTGGCCGTGTCCTTTTCATCAGATACCACGAGCAGCTCCAAGTTCTTCCCAAGTGCTCTGAAAGGGTGCACCGGACTGTAACCTGCATCCAGTGGGACAGGGACAGAGGTCTCAGTGTTACTGGACTCACGGGCAGGCTCTATTTTATTTTTTTTAGCTGAGCCATCCTGCCACCTGTTGGCAGCTCAGCAGCTGCTCAGCTCGGGCCGGGACTCGAACCGCTATTGCTCAGAGCTTGCACTCTTGAGCGAGCTCTTAATCAACTGAGCCACTCGGCTGGCCCCCCGGGCAGGCTCTAAGAGCGAAGTCGTAGCAGGCTCACTCTTGAGAAACATGCACTGGTTTTTACCACACAGTCACCGAGTGACAGCCTTGGCAGGGGTGCTAGGGCCATGTCCAAGAACAGACCAGGTCCTTGCCCGTAAGACAGAAATCAAGTGGATCGAAAATTAGGAAGAAACAATGGATGACAAAAGAAGCAGAGGAGGGTGGGGGTCAGTCAGGAACACAAGGTGGGTGGGGCTGGCTGCAGAGCTCACGAGGGCAGAGGCCCTGGGGTGTGTAGGACGTTAACTGTCACCCAGAAGAGCAACTGATACACAGGAGTGACCAGCTGGGGAGTGCCGAGGGGTGTGGTCGGGCAAAGGGAGAGGGGCAAGTGGCTGACAGCAGCTCGCCCACCCGCTGCCCGACCCGTGTCCAGTGCATCCTACACTTCGCCCTGACCACACTCATTTTGACGGGTTTCCCTGGGGGCACTGTGCCTCTCCTATGCCCACCAGGCCAGCACACGGCGTGGATGCAGCCAGGGAGCAGGGGCCACATGCAGGACGGTCCATGATGAGTTAAAGCAAAAGGACAGGTGGCATTTAGCGCCCTCAACTAGGGCCTGCTGGGCATCGTAAGGCACCATCCCTGAAGCATGGAACAGCACTGCCCCACTGGGCACTTAGGAGGCTCCCAACACCACCACAGACGGGCCAGAAGTGGGAGTTCTGGGTCTTGTTCTTGAGCTAGGACCTACGATCAAGTCGGGAAAGGTGACCCTACAGACACGACAGAGCGAGGGGACAACGGCCAAGTGAGTCCTTGATGATCCCGGAAAGGGAGCAGCAAGTGGGAGGAAGCTCTGGGAGGTGCCCGGGGGGCATCATGGGGCCTGCCTGGCGGAGTGGAGGGGGTAAGAGAGAACTTAGAAGGTCAACCAATGTTGAAATGCTTTCTCATCAGAATGCTGCTTTTGACTCTCTCCTTCCAGAATTTGGAGACCCGAGATACCATCCAGGCAGTGTGCCCACGAGACATAAGTAAGCCACGTGAGTAACGCATTCTTGTTTCCACCTTAAATGGACTTTACATGCAGAGCACTTGTCAGCTCAGACTGGACACGGGCTCCTGGCTACCACACTGCACATGTAAATTACCACCCTGATCTATTCCCCGTGTGGGTATGTACACGCGGCCACACAGAGGAAAAAAAAGCCACTCTGGACGGTTGGACTTAAGACATTTTTGTCTTCTTTCCATTTTGCTATATTCCAAACTTTCTACAATGAGTATCAGTTAAGTCTGTAAAAAAAATTCTGAAGTACATTTGAAAAAGATGCTTCAGGGCCGGCCGAGTGGCTCAGCTGGTTAAGAGCTTGCTTGGGACGCCAGCTCTGAGCAGCAGGGCCGCGGTTCGGATCCCACATTGAGGGCCGGTGACGCTGCGGCCTCTACAGCTAAGATGGTGAACAACAGCTCGACCTGGAGCTGGGCTGCTGTGAGTCGCCGGCGCCGGCGTAGGCTGCAGCAGGGCTTCACTGGGCTACCATGAGTGGCCGGCAGCTGGTGCAAACTACTGGGAGCCGCTGTGAGCAGCCGACCAACGACCGGCGATCAATTGCTTCACCCGGGAAGAGCACAATGATCATAGCAACATGGGCCAGTGAAGCAACGTCCTCCACAACTAGACTGGAGAACAAAACAGCAATTTGTCTACCTGCCTGTTCCCCTTCCCCGATTCTCCAACGCTGTTCCCCTCCCCCAATTCCCCAATAAAATCTTTAAAAAAAAAGAAAAAGCTACTTCAAATCAACTCACCTTGGCTTTGCTTGTTTGGAGTTGCTATGTAAAGAATCCCCAGGAGGAAATTAATCAGCTCAGGGACAAACCTCTGTGACAGAGACACGTAGTCCAGGAACACGCAGCACACAAACAGACCCTTCACGGCGTCTTGGAGAGACAGGACAGGGCACTGGAAGGAACCGGCTCGGTGAGGAGTCGGGAGAAGGTCCTGGACACAGCTCCCAGATGAGCTGCATACCCTGAGCTTCTGCACAGAGGGGATCACCCCTCCCAATGATGGAGGGCCAGTGGAGTTCAGGCACAGGGCTTTGTGCACGCTGAGGCCCTTCCGAGTGGACAGCCAGTGACCGCAGTGAGCATGTATGGGTGTGAGCTGCCTGGGAAGGGAGCTGTTGGGACCTTGTTAAGTCAAAAGTGGAACAGGGCCCGTCGGACTTCATGCCCTCTCCATTAACTTGAAAGGTGGTTTTCTGGGGACACACCCCATTACCTCCAAGTGCTAAATTGGACTCCCCACCTGAGCCCGTCTGGGGCTGCTGAGGCCGGCTGGGCTCTGGGCGGGGGCTGGGTCCGCTTCTGACCTAAGTCCCAGCTTGTCGTCCCCACAGGCCCCTCTGGATGAGCCTGTCTTACGCCTGACCCCAACGGCCAGTCTCCACGACCTTACTCAGCACGGCCCCACTTACGCCTGACCCCAACGGCCAGTCTCCACGGCCTTACTCAGCACGGCCCCAGGAGACGCCGGCTCTGATGGAGCGGGTGTGACTGTACGCGTGGAAGCGGGGACACACCTTTGTGAGCAGCTGGCTCAGACACACCAGCGCGGGGGTCACGACGGGGTGCCAGAAGTCAGAGGTCGGAAACAGCATCCCAGCGATTTTCAAGTAAATGAGCTGGAAAGAAAGTGTCATCACCCAGATCAAAGAAGGAAAACGAAGTTTAAAATACTGCCTTTTAAAAGGCCCAAGAGCAAAACAGGCTTTGAAACCTCTACAATGCTGTACTATCACCGTGGCCTCGTGGCCAGTGCAGGCCTCCCAAGTAGGTGTCAGCGTCCCCTGGACTGCGCCCCATACACGCTCGAGCACTCCCATTCTCTTGCAGGGGTTCCCTGATGGGCACAGGACGGGGCTGCGCTTTCCAGGGAGCCCGGGCCCCAGCCGGCCGTCCTGGGGCTTCAGGCCCATGAGGCTGGGCAGAGGTCGCTGCTGCCTGGGTGCCCACGGCCGCCATCTGCCTCAGCTCAGCAGGAAGCAGCCCGAGGCTCTGGCTGAGCCGTGAGTTCAGAGTGAAGAGGACAACCTCACAGCCGGCTGGGCAGAACGGCAAGCCCACACGCATTCCCCGTAGGGTCACTGTGGGGATGGGGCGCAGTACACCCATTACACCGAGGGAAACTCAGGCTGCTGGGGGAGCGGAGCTGGGAGCTGGAGGCGCCGTTCTCTGAACACTCTCACGTGCTCTCTGCTGTCCCGAGCTGAGTTCCATCCCCCCACCTGCTCATCACGTGACAAACGAACCACAGCGCTCCTGGCCTTGGATAGAGCAATAGCCAATAGCTAATGGCAGTATTTCTTTGAAGCTGTCCAGGTCTAAAGTCACTCAGGTAGTAATGTAGGTGAAGCGAGACTTAAAACACGTCAAACCAGGGCCGGCCGAGTGGCACGTTGGTTAAGAGCTGGCATGGGATGCCAGAGGGCCCTGGTTCGGATCCCACATATGAGGGCCAGTGACACTGCCCTCCACAGCTAAGATGCTGAAAAACAGCTCGACCTGGAGCTGGGCTGCTGTGAGTTGCCGGAGACGGTGTAGGCTGCAGCCCCTGTGGCAGTGAGTTGCCATGGGCTACCGTGTGTAGCCAGCAGCCAGCGTGAGTGGCCAGCAGCCAGCGTGAGCGGCCGTCCAGAGGCCGGCGACTGATCTGCCTCGGCCGGGAAGAGCGCAATGATGGTGCCAACTTGGGCCAGTGAAGCAACGTCCTCCACAACTAGACTGAAGAACAAAAGGACAGCAACTTGTCTGTTCCCCTTCCCTGATTACCCAGCGCTGTTCCCATCCCCCAATTCCCCAATAAAAATCTTAAAGAAAGAAACAAAAAAACAAAACAAAAACAAAAAAACACGTCAAACCAGGGTGGAACAGCACGGTGGCATGATGGGTCGGGACAAAGCTGGGAAACCCAACCTACCACATCCCCAAGGAAGTGGAGAGGCTGTGCCAGCTTTAGGACACGGAGCTGCCTGGACTGTGTTCTCCCAAAATGACATTTAAAATCAGAAACGTGGCTGTTTTGCCTTAGATGATGATGGCAGCAAGCTATTACTTTCAGGAAACTATAATACCATGGGTTAGGCACAGCCCCCGGGCTACCCTGACACAAGGCACCGAAAAGGCAGGCATTGTTGTAACCGTCACCTCCACTTACAGACAAGGAGAGGGACCAGGGCCCCACAGCTCAGACAAAGGAACTGGGCTGAGGGCCGGGTAGCCTGCCATGTCCCCGCTATATGGCCTCCCCAACACTCCTGGTAGAAATGCTCCGAGGAGGCAGAGGCTACAGGTAGCCCCCAATCCCAGGTAAATAGGGAAAGGCCTTGTAAGGACGCTGGGTGGAAGCTCCCAGAAGAACCGTGGTCACCAGCAGTGGTCCACGGACACTGGCTCGGACCCTTTTGTGAAGTCTATTAAAACCATGAACACAAATCCTGTTATTTTTAAGTTTTTGCTAATCATTATTAATTCATTTCAACACAAAGACCAGAAAATGGAATCACTGAGCAAGTGTTTCCTCAGAGTTACTGAAGGTGACAATCCCACCCATGGCTGTCATGGGTCTAACTGTTCTAATACCTCCTAGTGAATGAGCAGACACGAGGGAGCAAAGCCAGCCCGCAGACTTGGGTCCTCAGAAAATCTGCTTTGTGTGCCTTAAAACCTCTGCCATGAAGACTAAACCCAGCCCGATTCACATGCAATCAACCAGAATTTTGTTTTATGGACACACTGCAGGTCACAATGCATGGAAACACAGTCCCCGCAGGTCACCCTGGAAGCTCTAGGGACAGCCCATGTCTCGAAGCCACGTCATTTGCTCAGTGCAGTCCTGGTGGCTGCTGGCCCACGACCGGGTCAGAGCGAGCCCCAACTTACCACGTCCAACCCTGGAAACGGCGCCCGGCCTTTCGCCTCAATCGTCCCTTCCATCTCATGCATAGCATCTCGGAGGACAAACTTTATGGAGTTGCTTGCAGACTCAGGAAACATCTGGCAGAGATTATATAAATGCCTGTTAATCAGAAACACAAGTCAGAGGCCAGTGACTCCAGGTACGAAAACACTCTCAGAAAACGCCGCACCTCCCATGTTGCCGTTTTCCTGTCAAGTCACCTGCTGACTGCAAGTTCGAACTGGAAGCCCCTAGATGAAGCCACTTTTCCTCTTGCTGCTACCTGGCTGGCCTTCCTGGCAAGCCAGATTTTTGTACTTGTTTTATAATAATCTATACTGTTTTGCCATTTCCCAAAAACCTGGCGAGGACCTACAATGGCGGTGGCAGTAGGTGCTCTATCTGTGGTCACAGTGGGTGGGGAGCACGTGCCCGATGCAGCTGACAGCGTCAGGCGCCTGACCGTGAACTCCAGACTCCGTGCCAGCACTTCTGAAATGGCAGAAGCTGGCTCAGCACCATGAGGCCACAGCTGTCACTAAGCCTCCCAGTTAGCTCCCCGCCACGCCTTCCTCAGCTACCGTGGGGCCACCAGCCACCATGCGGGTCCCCGCTTCATGGGGCTTTTAGTGTAGGGAGGGTCTGCGACCGGCCACTGTCCCTGCTCAGGGTGGGAACGGGTAGACAAGAGGGACACAGTTCCTAACAGGCGCCCGGTCACACTGAGGCGAGGTCCTGGGATGACGTGGGACTGCTGTCCACCACGTGCTTGCACCGAAGCTGAGTTAGAAATTTCACTGGCGAATGAAAACAGAAAGTCACCGAATACTATGATCAAATCCGACAGGGTTCACTATTTGTGGCTACAAACCGTGCTCTAGGGTGGGCAGCAGCTGACCTGTCTTGTGGGCTGTCGCTGCTGAGGACGGCAGCTGGTGCACGCCGGGCGGCCCATTTGCAAGGCCGACCTTAAAGACTCCGATATGTATTATCACCCTAACCAGGATGAACTTGCTCAGCTCAGCCCCACAGCCCACCGGCTTTACTTACACAATCAACCTATCAATTACTCTGAGGCCTGGCGGGTCGTCTGCAGCCACGTCGCCAACGTATTCCAAAAGGAAGCCAAACAGTTTCTGCAGGAACATGATGGAACAGCTCAGTGCTGATCCCGGAACAAAACCAGGGGCAGCCCACGCACGTCACCAACACTGACTAGCGGGGTGGTGGAGCCTCAGAGCCACCGATGGGCAGAGCACCCCGCAGAACCCCAGGGGGAGCACACACACGAGAGCGGGGTGTGGGCCTTGCTCAGTGACTGCAGCACGCACAGAGGGGACAAGGCACGTGCAGTCACCCATTTCCCTGAGTCTGGGTTGGCGTGAGGCAACAGTGCCCGCCTCCTCCGGG